CAGCCATCACAAAACAACTGTCACCTCCAGTTTCTCCATGAGAGAGCCCAAGCAAGACCAGCTGCAGAATTTTACAGTGCTTTCACTGAATCATAGATAATAAATCATTGTTTTAAGCTCCTAGGTTTGGGATGTTTGTTATGGAGCAATCAACATTTGATAGAGTTAGAGAACAATTGGCTGTCCTCAGAGGCAGACGTTTGTGTTTTATGTCCTCAGCCAGCATTTCCCAACTTGGCATGAGTGACATTTGCAGCCAGTAACTATGGGAGCAGCCCTGTGCACTGGAGGCTGCTCAGCAGCCTCCCTGTTGCCAAGAGGTGACAGTAACATCCCGTCCCCAGTTATAACAACCAAAAATATCTCCAGACATTGCCAAACGGCCCCAGGACAGAATCAACCCAGGTTTAGAACCATTGCCCTAGGCCAAACCATTCCAAGAATGACAATGGGGGGGGGGCACAGTTATAAAGCTAGATTTCCAAGCTTCTCCCCTAGGGAGTCTTGTTAATTTTGTTCAGACTGTGAACCTGCAATTTGAACTTCTAAAATGCTCAACTATTCTTCTTATTGGAGGACTTTAAGAACTCATACAATAGGAATGAGAAGCCAATAGAGCTTTGATCTGCTCATTTTGTGTTTCAGGAAGATCCTTCTGGAGGCATTTGGGGGTTTGATTGAGTAGGATGTGGGGGATGTAGAAAAGAGAGGAGGAGTTGGAGGCTACTGCTTAAATTCAGATGAGAAGTAACAGGGAGGTTGTGTGAGACACTGGTTATTGGGGTACATTTCAGAAACATTTCCAAGGCAGAATGAGTGAAATCTGTGACTAATCAGATGTTGGGAAGGGAAGGACTTAAGAAAATGATGATTCAAAATTAAAAATTTTTATGCTTCAAATTATATCATCAAGCAAATGAAAAGACAACTCAGAATGGGAGAAAATATTTTTAAATTATACATCTGAAAGGGGACTTTTATCCATAATATGTATTTTTTTTTTTTTTTTTTTTGAGACAGAGTTTCAGTATGTCACCCTCAGTAGAATGCTTTGGTGTCACAGCTCACAGCAACCTCAAACTCGTGGGCTTAAGTGATTCTCTTGTATCAGCCTCCTGAGTAGCTGGGACTACAGAAACCCACCACAACGCCTGGCTATTTTTAGAGATGATGTCTCACTCTGGCTTAGGCTGGTCTGGAACTCATGAACTCAGGTGATCCACCCACCATGGCCTCCCAGAATGCTAGGATTACGGGCGTGAGCCACCTTGCCTGGCCTCAGAACTCTTACACTCAACAATAAAAAGAGAAATAGCACAATTTAAGAATGGATAAAGATATGAATAGACATTTCTTCAAAGAAGATATACAAATGGCCAATACGCGTTTAGAAAGATGCTCAATATCTTTAGCCATTAGGTAAATGCAAATCAAAACCACAGTGATAAAAACTACTTCATATTCATTCACAAGGACAGCTATAATTAAGAAGATAGATTATGAAAAGTGTTGGCAAAGACAATGAGAAACTAGAACCCTCCCTCATTGCTGATGGTAATAAAGTGATACTGTTTCTATAAAAAACAGTCTGGCAGAGTTACCACATGATCCAGCAATTCTGCTCCTGGGTACCCAAGAGAAATAAGAACATATACCTCCAAAAAATTTTGGATAAAAATAATCATAGTAGAACTATTCATAATAGGCAAATGTGAACATAACCCAAACATCCATTCATTGATGAATGGTTAAATGAAATATAGTGTGTCAATAGAGTGAAATGTTATATTTAGCAATAAAAAGGAATAAAGTGCTAATACATTCTGCAACATGAGTGAACTTCAAAAACATGACACTAAGTGAAAGCAGCCAGTCTCAAAAGACCACAAATTGCATGATTCCATATTTATAAAATGTCCAAAATAGACACAACTATAGGGACACATAGTAGGCTAGTGGTTGCCTAGGGCTAAGGGTAGGGGTGGGATACAGTTTAGGGAAAATGGGAAGTGACTGCTGATGGGTAAGGGTTTCTTTTGAGGGATATAAAATGTTCTAAAATTAATTGTGGTGATATTTGCACAACTTTGAATATACTAAAAAATCATTGACTTGTTTCCTTTTGGGGGTGGCCGGGCAGGGTTTGAACCTGCCACCTCTGGTATATGGGGCCGGTGCCCTACTCCTCTGAGCCACAGGCGCCACCCAACTTGTTTCCTTTGTTTTTTCTTTTATTTATTTATTTATTTATTTAGACAGAATCTCACTCTGTTGCCTAGCCCAGAGTGCAGTGGTGTCAGCCTAGCTCATGGCAACCTCAAACTCCTGGGCTCAAGTGATCCTCCTGCCTCAGCCTCCCAAGTAGCTGGGACTACAGTCGTCCAACACCATGCCCAGGTGATTTTTCTGTTTTTAGTAGTGACAAGGTCTTTCTTGTTCAGGCTGGCCTTTAACTACCGATCTCAGGGGATCCTCCTGCTTTGGCCTCTCAGAGTGCTGGGATTATAGGCATGAGCCACTGCACCCAGTGACTTGCATCTCTTAAATGTGTGAATTATATAGTATGTGTATTAAATCTCAATAAAGCTGTAAAAAAGAAAAAGAAAAACAAAAAAGGGGTTATTGTTTTAATAAGTGGAAACATGGTGTCATCCTTAGTCAAAATTGGGACTATAGGAGGAAGATGTGTTTGGGAGAAAAATGAGCCTTAGAGATGTGGAGATGGCTGTGGGGAGCGAACATTGAATACTCTGGCTGTGAGGAGCAAAGGATGGGCTGGAGATAATAATACAAAGAAACAACCATTTATTTAGCATCTGTGATGTGCCTAATACTGTAAATATAAATATACTGTTTCTGCACTCTGCCTGGTGGGCTGCATATGTATACTGTTTCCTGTTTCTGCTCCCTCTCTTCCCCTGTGTAGGTAGATGAGAGGATGATCTTCATCTCTCTTTTTCTCAGCGTGGCTCAAAGTCTGCATGTAACATTCACTGAATGAATACAAATGTAGTATCTTTTAACCCTCAGAACTACTCTTTTTTTTTTTTTTT